AAGGGATTTTCATGAAGGGGCTAAAACTGGAGATCCGAATAGCAGTCAGGGTGTTTGAGCCAAGGAACCTAGGGAAGGCTATGGAGCTGGCGTAGTTGGTGGAAGATAAAAAGAAATCAAAAAGAGGAGCCCGAGGGAACTATTCTGGAGGATCATACAAGATGACTACCACTTTCCTACCATCAAAAGGGGCAGCGCTAGGGAGTCTGAAGGAAGCGCCAAAGGAGAAAACTGGAGGGGGGAAATGGGGGATAATTCAAAAACCTGATAGAGAAGGATATGCAGGACAAGAGGGCGAAGGGGTTGTGCTTCAGATGTGATAAGAAGTACATGTTAGGGCATAGGTGCAAGGACCAAACTCTTCAGGTTCTCCTTGTCTGTGATGATGAGGAAGACGGGAGGGAGGTGGGAGAAGATCAGAAGAGGAGGAGGAGGAGAAGCTGCACCTGGATGTGGCAAAAATCTCTCTGAACTCTGTAGTGTGATTGACTCCGAGTCACACTATGAAAGTGAAAGGAGAAATATATGATCATGAGGTGGTCGTGCTAATTGATAGTGGGGCAACCCACAATTCATTTCCAACTAGATCGTTGAGCTGTTGGGGATGGAGTTGGTAGATACAAGAGGCTATGGGGTGATGATGGGCAAGGGAAAGGTGAAAATGAGTAGAGGAGTTTATAGAGGGATGGTGCTGAAGATTCAGGGGATCCAGGTGAGGGAGGACTTCCTTCCCTTGGAATTGGGGAGCATTGACATCATCCTGGGGATGAAGTGGCTACAGATATTGAGGGAGACCAAGATCAAATGAGGTACACTGAGGATGGAGTTGGTGGTGGGAGGAAGAAGGGGATGAATCAGGGTTGACCAAGGCAAGGGTTTCTCTCAAATCCCTAATCATAACAATTTAGGAGGAGGGAGGAGGCTACTTAGTGGAGTTGCACCACCTGGAAGGGGCCAGATTAGAGGAAGAAGGAAATATTCCCACTACATTTTAGCTGCTCATACACCAGTTCAGTGAAGTCTTTCAACCTCCCCAAGGGTTACCTCCATAGAGGGAGTTGGAGCATGTCATTACATTAAAAGAAGGAGAGACACCGATCAGCATCTGCCCTTACCATTACCCACAGATTCAAAAAGATGAGATTGAGAAGTTGATCCGGGAAATACTAGAGGTAGGGATCATTAGACCCAGTAACAGCCCTTTTTCTAGTCCAGTTCTCTTGGTCAAGAATAAGGATGGGAGCTGAAGATTTTGTGTGGATTATAGGGCTTTGAATAAATGCATTGTACCAGATAAGTTCCAAATTTTGGTGATTGATGAGCTTCTAAATGAGCTATATAGAGCAGTGGTGTTTTCCAAGATGGACTTAAAATTCAAATATCACCAGATTAGAATGAGGGGGCAGATGTTCTAAAGATAGCATTCAGGACACATGAAGGGTAGTATGAATTTTTGGTAATGCCTTTTGGATTGACTAACGCTCCTGTTACATTTTAGTCCTTGATGAACAGGGTGTTCAAGCAAGTCTAGGGAAGTTTGTCCTAGTCTTCTTTGACGATATTTTGGTATACAACAAGTCTGGGGAAGAGCACTTAGAGCAATTGAGGATGGTCTTAGAAGTATTGTAGGAGCACCAACTGAGAGCCAACCTAAAGAAATGCAGTTTTGCTCAGTCTAGTGTGGAATACTTGGGACACGTGGTATCCTAAGAAGGAGTGGAGGCGGACCAAACCAAAATTGAAGCAATGCAGAAATGGCCACTACCTAGGAACATAAGAGAGTTGAGGGGTTTCCTAGGATTGATTGGCAACTACAGAAAGTTCGTGAAGGGGTATGATACCATTATATGGCCTTTGACTGAGCAGCTAAAGAAATATAACTTTTCTTGGGGAGATGCAGCGATCTAGGCTTTCAAGATGTTGAAGAAAGCCATGACCACTGTTCATGTTCTAGCTCTTCTAGATTTCAGTCAGGCTTTTGTTATAGAGATCGATGCATCAGGATATGGATTGGGAGCAGTATTGATGCAGAACCACAGGTCTGTAGCATACTTCAGTCAAGTGCTATCAACTAGAGCAAGATTGAAGTCAGTGCATGAGAGGGAGCTGATGGAGATTGTCTTGGCCATTTTGGAGTGGCGCCCCTACCTTTTGGGTCGACATTTCATTGTCCAAACTGATCATAGGAGTTTAAAGTACCTCTTGGAGAAAAGAATGGTGACTGAGGAGCATCAGCGGTGGCTATCCAAACTTTTGGGCTACCATTTTGAGATCCAGTACAGGCCTGGTTTGGAAAATAAAGCAGCAGACGCTGTATCTAGACGCATGGGGGAGCTCCAGGAGTTAGCTCTATCTGTACCCTTGATGGTCGACTGGGGGGCCATCAAGGAAGAAAGCATGTTAGACAAGGAATTGGGAAAGATCAGAGAGGATTTAAGGAAGAATAAGAGTAGCCACCGTGGTTACTACATCGAGGGGGAGAGACTATTGTATTATGGGAGGTTTGTGATGCCACAAACATCCATACATAAACCCCACTTATTGCAGGAGTTCCATGGTAGTGCGGTTGGAGGCCATTCAGGAGTTCAAAAGACATACAGGAGGCTTGCATCAGAGCTCTATTGAAAGGGGATGCATAAAGATGTAGAGGAGCTAGTGGCGAGGTGTGAAGTGTGCCAGAGAAATAAATACATGGCCATAGCTCCATGAGGATTGCTATAACCATTGACACTTCTAAATAAAGTTTGGGAGGAGGTGACAATAGACTTCATCGATGGATTACCACGATCAGAAGGATACACTGTCATCATGGTGGTGGTGTACAAACTTAGTAAGTATGCACATTTCATCCTCTTACGAAATCCCTACATCACGATATCAGTGGCAGCAGCTTTTATCAGGGAAGTGGTTAGATTATACGGGTTACCTAAATCAATTGTGTCCAATAGGGACAAAGTGTTCCTTAGTCAATTATTGAGGGAATTGTTCAGAATGCAGGGTACTGTCCTCAAGAGAAGTACCACCTACCATCCTCAGACAGATGGACAGACGGAGGTGGTAAACTAGAGCTTGGAGACATGTTTGAGGTGTTTTGCTTCAGAAACACCATGAAAGTGGGCAAAATGGTTACTATGGGCTGAGTACTGGTACAACACCTCATATAATTCAGCTTCTCAGATGACCCCGTTCAAAGTGTTGTATAGGAGGGACCCCCCACACATAATGCACTATGGGAGAGGAAGTACACCTATCTCTTCAGTTGAACAATACCTAGAGGAAAGAGACCAGGTTTTGGAGGAATTGAAGAGACATTTGGGAAGAGCACAACAAATTATGAAGAAGTGAGCATATACACACAGGAGAGAGATACAATATGAAATGGGGTACAAGATGTACTTGAAGCTAACGCCCTACAGGAAAAAATCAGAGGCTAATAGGAGAAACGAGAAATTGGCCCTGAGATACTTTGGTCCTTATGAGATTCTGGGGAAGATTGTAGTAGTGGCATATCGTCTGAACTTACCATCCTCCGCTATCATACACCCAGTATTTCATGTGTCACAGCTGAGGAAAGCACTAGGAGAGCATGCAGCTAGTGTTGAATTGCCAGCACCATTGACAGAGGATTTGGAGGTGGTCATGGAACCCATTGAGCTAGAAGGGGTAAGGTTGGATAAAAAGGGAAACAAAGAGGTGTTGATCAAATGGAAGGATCTCCCCGACTACGAGGCCACTTGGGAACCCTGTGAGATGGTGAAGCAGCAGTTCCTGTACTTTCACCTTGAGGACAAGGTGAATCTTTGGGAGGGGAGTAATGTTACACTTGGACCGGTCCAGCTCTATCCCAGCTGGATCGGTCCGGTTCTACACTCAGCGGCCCAAGCTGGGCGAAAATTAGGCAGAAAAGAGGATGGGGGGCAGCAGTCCTTGTGGGCCCAAGCAACGAATGTATTAAACTTTGGGAGGGAAAATTTGAATGAAGGGGCTATTTAGGGATTTTTAATTAGTCCTTTTGCTTTAATTAGGTGAATGGTGTGAGTTTGGGTCATCTTGAATTTGAATGTATTTTTGAGATCTAGGGTTTCTTGCATTGGGCTCTTGGCGTTGCCAGAGATTTGGAGAGTTATTCCTTTCTCTCGAATTGAAGGAAATTGTATCTTTGCTTGTTTTCTTCAATCTACTAGTGAAATACAATTGCTCTATTGGTTTTCCTACAAGTTTTCTCTCAGATTTCCTCTGTTTTTCACAGTTTCTAACTGTTTTACTTGCTGTGAACAGCAGTTTTCCCTGCTGTGGTGCTTGATATTGGTTAGGTTTGCTTGTGCATAAGAGTATTTCCTATCAAGGACGTATTGGATACTTATATAGTACACATCTGTTATCTATTATACTATGGTGGTGATGTGTCACTCTCCATTAAGGAGAAATTAATAAAAGATTGATTTTTCATGGCTGAATTTTCATGGTTCAATATGGTCTATCCCATTGCCATTAGTTAATAAAAGTGAGAATTCTTCCCACAAACTACTTAAAAAAAAATTCGTACAAGAATATCATGATGGTGAAAAGAGATAATTTATTGCATGAATTTTGAATTATGATTGACATAATATAAAAAATATTGAGTCTAATGTACATAAGATAATAAATATTTTATATGAAAAATCAGCAAAGAAAAATATATGAGATCAAATTCAATTGAAATTAAAGATGTCGGGAGAATGTAGAAGATTTGAATGATGAAAATATAAAATTGGGTAGCAAATTAATCATATATTATTAAAAACCAAAAAAGTAAAAACTACAAAAATTAAAAAAAAAATTAAAAACTAACCTCGTTGCAAGATAGTATTCACTTCAATACATTTACACCAAGCACAAGCACAAGCACAAGCACACATGCATTGAATGGTCCCCTCAAAAAAAGACATAAATCTTCCCTACATGTTCCATAAACGAAATAAATTCTATAGAATAAATAAAATATTGGTAAGCAAATCTAACCCTCAAAAGTACAGTTCACAATCCTCTTTCACTGCTCAGTCCCCCGTAGTTTTTTTGCTGTAGCTGACATCACAGCAAACTACAATAAATACTATCAACTTCGATCTTCTGAATCCTTCTGCTTTCAATCCCGGAGGTCTTCTTTCTCCTTTTTGTTCTGTTCTCCTTCTCCAAAATCTGCCCCCTAAAAAGTCGTCTTCAAGCTTACTTTACTTTTGGAGGGGGGGCCATGCTCTTCCCTTACCCAAAAATTAAAATTTTCTTTTTTATGACTTTTTTTATACATGGCTGAGAAAAGAAACCATAGAAATCAATGCATTCTTTTTCTCCATAACATTCCATAACCTGTGAGCAAATCTTCTTTCTGGTTCAACGGTTGAGAAAGCTGAGCTAAATCCTACTCTTGAATCTATAAGCTATCATCCACTTCCCTTTTGTGATTCCTCCCCTACTGATTGAGGCCAAAAGATGGCTAAGCAGTCCCACGCCTATACGTTTGGCCTGCAATTCTAGAGGTTGTTTTCATCCTTCTCTTCGTCGCTTTACTTGCTCTTCCCTGTATTTTTTATACGCATGTTGCTTTTCACTCTAAGTTCAAACTTCTCCCGCTTGTTATATACAAACCACTTTTATATTCTAAGTCCCTATAGAGTTTCTCAGGAAAGAATACTGATGAGGGGAGCTATTCCAGTTCAAGCAATTATCCTCCTGCTACTTTGCTTTCGAGTCCTGTCTCAATCAGATGGCTCTACTGCTCCAATGGAGGAAAAGGAGAAGGAAGCTCTGTACTTGATGATTCAAGGCTTTGTTGGAAATTGGTGGAATGGTTCTGGGCTTTATCCTGACCCTTGTGGCTGGACATCTATTCAGGTTTGCACAAATCTATTCACTATTACCCTAAAGATTCATCTAATTGTGATTTTAATTATCTCAACAATGATGTTCTGTTATTTATTTATTTATTTGGCTTGATGAACTTGCATAATTGTATTCACCATTTTTTTAGCTGTTTTCTTCCTATTTAAAAATCAAAATTTCTAAACTGTGTTAATATCTTCAAATGCAAGACATTATTAGCTATATATCTCTAAATTTTATTTTATTATGTTCTTTTGTCAACTACATGCATTGAGGCAGACTGATTGGAGAATATACTACCATGTAACTCTAGCTTTAATAATGCTTCCCAATCTATTAAGTTCTTGATAAAATTGAGGATTTTAATCGCCTCTTCTATTTCAGTTGAATTCAACTAGAAGTTAATGTGAGAAAGTTACTCTGTTTTTTGGGAGAAAAACAATCCCAGCCATCTGGGATCCCTAATAATGTACCGTTGGGTTATCGATTGGAGATAATTCGAATCTCTATGCTATGCTACTAACATAAATGAAAATTTTGGTTGCAGGGAGTATCCTGTGATCTGTTTGAAAATGGTTTTTGGTATGTCACAACTGTAAACATAGGCCCGATCCTTGACAATTCTCTTCGCTGCTCTAACAATGCTGAGTTCAGCTCATCTCTCTTCGAGCTCAGCCACCTGAGAAGCTTCTCAATCTTCAATTGCTTCTCATCACCATTCCATAAAGAAACTATCATTCCGTCTCAGAGCTGGAACAAGCTGTCTTCAAGCTTAGAAACGTTGGAGTTTCGATTAAACAAAGGACTTACTGGCCAAATTCCTCGGGCTCTCGGCCAGTTAGTAAATCTCAAATCACTAGTGCTCACTGAGAATTCATTAATTGGTGAGCTTCCTTGGGAAATTGGAAATCTGGTACACTTAAAGAGGTTAACAATTTCAGCAAATCAGCTATCTGGAAAAATACCAGCTTCTTTTGGAACCAACTTGGCTGAGCTCTTGATCATGGACTTGAGCAACAATTCTCTAACTGGTCACCTGCCCTCCTCTTTTGGTGGCCTTGCATCACTGCTTAAGCTTGATGTTAGCAACAATATACTAACGGGAAATATACCACAAGAACTTTGTAAACTCAAAAATCTCATACTTCTAGATCTCAGAAACAACAATCTTTCAGGTGGTTTACCTCCATCTCTTCAAACAATGCTTGCTCTCCAAGATATGCTCCTCTCCAACAACCCATTAGGTGGAAGTATTAAGGAATTTAGTTGGGAAAATCTAAAAAATCTAACTCATTTGGATCTTTCAAATACGGAGCTTGTTGGTGAGATTCCAGATTCAATCACAGACTTGCAGAAGTTGAGAGTCCTTGCATTGGACGGCAACCAGCTCTCTGGTTTTGTATCTCCCAAGCTTGCAGACATGCCTAGTCTTTTTGCTGTTTATCTCAATGGTAACAATTTCGCAGGAGAGCTTAGATTTTCTCAGGAATTCTATAATAGGATGGGAAGGAGATTTGCCTCATGGAATAATCCAAATCTCTGTTATGGCTTCAAAGCTGGAAATACAACACGGGAAGGCCCAGATGGAGTGAGTAAATGTAACTATGGAGAAAACAGAACAGTGCATAATCTTGATGCAGGGAACAAAGCTGGTAGAGTAGAAACTACTCAGTCGTCAGCTTCTATGGCTTCCATTGGGTTCTCAGCATCTACCATTGCTAGATATATGTGGATAAGTTTCTTGGAGATTGTAGTGATCATCTTCCTCTGGTCTTCAATGTAGTAGGAAAAACAAATGTTTCTTTATCACAGTGTATGGTTTTCCCTTTTGATCTTTCACATTTGCAGAAACTAATGTCATGATGTGAAATATCTTTCATATATTAAAAAAAAAACTGCCTTAATTATGAACCAAGTAAATAAAAATATTCTGTTTCTCCGTGCTGTAAAAGATGTGCATGAGATATTTACTGGCTATTTATTTTGATGCCTTAGTAAAAAAGTTGACTTTACCATATGTTCACTGCGATGCAGTCCGAAACTGAAAGGAAGTACTGAATGCTTTTAAAGACATTTATTTAAATGTTAATTTGTAGAAATTAGTCGAATAATATCTTCGAAATAAATGTAATTTTCGATCTTATTTCATGGCCGATTAGTAATGGATGTAGTGACACCACATGTATGAACGTGCTGAAATGTCAACGTCTAAGAGGGGGTAAGTAGGACAGCTTAATTGATGTATTAGACAAGGCCTGGTGTAAGAGATAAGATGCAAGGCACATTATTTGAGGGCGGCTGGTGTCTACTATCTATCTAGTTCCAGTTGCATTAGGACAGCGCCATAATGGATGGTCCCTTTAAAAAGGTAAGGTCACTTTATTCTACATTTGCTTCGCGATCATTAACAATTAATCTGATTTTTATGCTATATATATTTAAATTTTATTAACAATTTACTAATAGTTTTACCCAAATAAAAATCAGTGTTTCATTTTTTTTTATTTTGAGAAATTTGACTTTATGATCTCAAATAATGCAATTATGTGAATGTTCTTATTATTTGGACATTTTCAAAATAAATTTTGGATCAAAATAGCATTCAATATATGGCAAGTATTTATATCTGTTAAATTATCTCACTCGAAATATATAAAAGTAACATTGTGTTTTGCTCTTCCTTCTTTTATTGTTGTTAGATTTGAATTTGAATTCAAGTGAGCATATAGAGTGAGGGTTCTATGTCATGATAGAATTTGAATTCGAATGAGCACGTGTGGGCTCCGAAAATTTGCGCCTCGGCCTCCACTGTTTTCGGGGAAGTTTTAATGAATTAAGTTTTGGAGTAAATTTTAGGAAGATAGATTGGGTTTATATATAAGACACTACCTAGAGATTTTACTCTTATTTTGTGAGGACTTTATGATATGAGTTTTGGTTTCATATAGGCACAACCCCCTATAGTTAATTACCCATCTCGATAATGAGAGAACTTTCGATTAAGGTTAGTCGTCAATCAAATACATAGGGATACATGTATCTGGCATATAGTAACAACATGGGTTGATATTTAAAATAGAAATTTCACCAACTCGTACTTAAAGTGGATGGTGGTTTATGTGATGATGGGCCCGATCAGGATCATATGGTTCCGTCGACCCGAGACATCGAGGTCCCTTGTCTACTTATTCAAAGGAGGTAGTCGACCCAACCTGATAGAAGGATTCTTATCGACAGTCATTGGTTGCATCGTGAAGGGTATCTTGTAGACCTAGTGAGAATAATTGTCTAAGGGGACAAATTTAAATCCACCTTAGTTGACAAAAGGCTTTGTGCCCTATAGATCATATCCTATTGATTTATATCTAAACGATTTTGGACCATTGGGAAGCATATGAGCTCTAACCAAAATAATAATTTAGTGGTGCCTTTAGGAGGTAAAAAACCCTGTTCAGAGGGCCCCGCTCACAACTGTTTACATGCGGTGCCATTTAGTGGTAAAATTATCAATTAAAAGACATGTGCCACATTCTTTTTGGCAAGAGACTATTTGATAATTAATCTTAGTGATATTCTCAACTAAACATTAGTTCTTTTATGAGCTGACATGATATTTGAATTTGTTCACCTCGGTAAATTGTTGCAGAGAATGGATATGTTTTGTTTTAAGTGTTTTGATGGTTAATTTTGATTTTAAATATCTGAATTTTCGTATTTTAAATGTTTTGAATTTTATGGGCATTTAGGTAATAGTTTGAATGCTTGAAATTTATCCTTCCACTTGAGATTTACATTCAACACGGCCATCATCAGGGTGATTTTGAAATAACTTTAAATGTTCATATGTTTATTACTTTGGGAGGCATGTTGAATATTTAAAATTGACCCATTCGGTTGAGATCTACGTTCAACGCGGTCATCATAAGGGTAATCATGGGATATTATATCTTGTTGGTTGGACCTTATCGACCCATCCATTTATCAACACAAGATTAGGTCTATTGTTTGCTTGATTCCCTTATTAGTGGATTTTCATTATTCATAAGCCTTGAAGGCCTAACATGAACATATTAAATAAATATCATGGTTAACACCATGACTGTACCTTTATTTGATAGTTTGAGCCGTGTCAACTACTATATACTCGTACAGAAGGATTGGGATCGAGCTTAAACTTATTTGACCCGCTCAACATCCTCTAATGTCACGTGTATAAATGTAACACGCATGCCGGAGCCCATAAGGGTATGATTGTATATGCAATTTTTTTTTTTGTGTACACTTGTGTGAGGGGGTATTTTTGAAATGTTTGATGGGTCCTCTATGGCAATTCGTAGATGTTCGTATTTGTTGTTGTCTTGCACCATTTTCCCAATGGTGACATGTCAAGTACATGATAAGTCTTCTACAACAACTTGTAGGTTCTTGCATATGCTGCATGTTATATGTCTCTATTCTTAATTGATCGATGAATTTATCGGCCATTGAGTAGTGGTTAATTGTAGGAGTGTTGTAACATCTACGGTTTATTGATCACCACTAATATGTATTAATTATTGTGCACATGATGCATCTTCTATCATTGTCAGCAAGTGCTTGCATCCATTATAATCTTCTATTCCATGCTTGTAAAAGATCCATCACGCCATGCTTGCATGCGATATGCAATGTGCATTGTGACTCCTTGCATACCCTTTATACTTCATCCTTGGTTATCCGCTCCATACTTCATTGCTCGTGAGGTCGAATGCATTTATTTGTACTTTAATATTGACAACAAGGCTGATCACATTCACATCCTATTTTTTGTATCCATTCTATATTGGTCATCGTCATTTATAAGAATATGGATGTCGACACTGCATTCACTACATGTCAAGCTCACTTATTTATGATTGACTGATGTGTTTATTTACAAACTTAATTGACATTGGTCATACGAATATTATTTTTTGTTGCATGATGCGTTCATGTGTTGTGGTCCTTTCATAGCATATATGCTATCATTGCTTGCATGCACATCAATATACTTGCTTATAACTCGATGTTGAGCACCAGCTGAGCTACATTTATAAACAATCTCTTCGTGCTTGTTGATTGGTATGTCATTATAGGCCGATTATCGTTGCTTGCAAATGATGTGTCATTGCATTCTCTACTAACCTCTTCATGCACATCATGTGTCATCTTTCAACATTCGGGGGCAATTACTGCATTTATCCATGAGTTGAGTGTCTTTAACTGGAGGGAAATCATAATACTTGTTATGTGTGGCATGGCATATACTTATGGATAGCTTCTTAGACACATCCTGACAAATCAAATCAGTGCTAAAGTTCTTTGTGATATATTTGTAATTAGACCACACCTTTGTCTTAATTGTTGCTAATCATCACATGCGAGCAATTATACTTGAAATCTCGTTCACCATGAGACTTTATTCACTCAAATATTTTTACATTACTCTGTCATTTGATTTCATTTTCTCGCGATGATGAACCACAATTTTGTTTGTATATTGATGTTTACTTGACTATATTTGGATGATCAAAGTAATCATTTATTTTTGATATTTTCATTTTGATCATGTATTTATTAATTTAAAATGTAGTATCATGTTATATGAATTAAGTTTGGCTTCATTGTAGTCATATTGCATTCAAGTTCTTATAACTCATGTTTAGTTTGAGTCATCTACACTTAGTTCACTTGAGTCCAAATCAGGTCCTTCACATTATTCATTTTTAAGTTCAAATAATTAAAGTCAAATTTATCTTTTTTTAATGTGCAAGTTCCTTGTTATCCAAATTAAGTCCCCTATTTATTTGTTCAAGAATTGTGCATTTTCACCCAAAATTTTAGCAGCATCTTGGCATCTCCCACTTTTAAGGGAAAATACAAAAATTTTCTCCTACTCGCCACATCAAGAAAGACGTGTACGGTCGGTGTCGGGAGACACCATGGCCTTAGTCTTCACCACCACTACACTAAGAAAGCCGTGTATGGGTCTTCAAGGGTACCTATTGATAAACACAGTCATTTCCTCTATGACACTGAGGCCCGTATGAGTACTTATATTTTTCCTTGTCATGCTAAGAAAAACATGTACAAGTCTTCCCCGTCCACCTCGCTTCAAGCATCATGACAAGCTTCCTCCCACCGTGCTAAGAAAAGTTCCTATGAGTGGTTGCTCATCGCACTACATGTGTCAGAAATGGAACTTTGGAAGTTTTTGAGTTGAAGAGATTATACCTGCGTGACGACTAGTGATGATGATGATAATGGTGTAGATGATAGGAGAGTCAAGGATGTGCACAAAAATATATGAAATCCTTTCTCTCATTTTTTTTGGCTTCACCTTTTTTTTTTTTTTTTCATTTTCATCAATTTTTTTGGATGCATATATGTATGCATATGTATATAAATATTTTCAAACATAAAAAGTTAATAATCATAATAAGATTGATTATTAATTTTAGCTAACAAGAGAAATAATGGCACTAATCATATTAACTAGTAATGACAATTAATATTAATAACACAAGATAACATAAAAAGAAGAAGAACACATTGTTTTGATTGAGCTAATGATGTAACTTTGTTATTGGATTGGTGGAGAATTGGGATGAGCTTTAGTCCATTAGAATTAACAAATATTTTAATACCATTGTAACGTGTAGAAATAGCCAACAAGGTTCCATCTTTATTGAAGCGTATACTTGGACTTCCAGGGAGGCAACCATCAGGATCAACACTTGTAAGGACATTGGTATTTTGCATGTCCCAGAACTTTAACAAGAAATCATACCTAGTAGCCAAGAATCAATTCTGGTAGTATCAAATTGTACAACACCTAAGGTTGGGGTGTCAATTTCGGGTCACGGGTCGGGTTCGGGTCGAACCCGAAATTGACCCAACACTAATCGAGTTCGAGTTGACCTAACCCGTTTT